TATCACTGTGTTTGGTGCTTGTTTCTGCAAAATAAGTCACCATGGGCCCCAAGAAAGCTTCTAGTGCCAACTCTGTGGTAAAAAGGGTGAGAATTAGTATGGAAATTAAGAAAGATTTTGAAGGGTTTGGGGCTAACCCTGAGAAGCCTATACCAGTTGTGGAATACATTGTGCCTACTTCAAAAATTAAGGAAATGTGTGCACAGTGGGTTGAAGTGCAAACCTTTATGGATGAAAATCACCCTAACACAGCTATTACAATGACAATGTTGTGGCCCATTTTAGACAAATCGTAAAGGAACGGGAGGTACAGAGCTCTATGGACAGATTTGTTGTGCGACAGAGGTCCAGTGACTCTCAAGCTGGTCCTAGTGGCATTAAAAGAAGAAGGGAAGTAATCCTGGAAAAGGACTTGCTACCTCAAGTCCTAATGGAAGGGGATTCCCCTTCTAAACACTAACACTTCTCCCCTCCTTCCATCCCATCAATCATCACCAGATCTTCATTAAAGGTAAGTGTCAATTATTTTATTATTATTGTAATTATTCTATTGCATTAAACTTAATATTTCATGTAGTAAAATTTTTTTTTCATACTTTTGGGTGTCTTGCACGGATTAATTTGATTTTCATTATTTCGTATGAGGAAAATTGATTCGGTTTTCGATATTATCTGTATTCGATGAGCTCTCAGGAACGGATTAATATTGAATACCGGGGGTCCACTGTATACATTTGGACCGTTTATGGGTTAAATAAGGTTTGGGCTCATTTAATTAGGCTTAGAATATATTATATTGATTTTCATAATAAAACTATAATACACTGTAATAAAAAATAATACACTGAGTTCAACATGGGTCCAATTAATACATCTTGACAGTACTTTGAATTTATCGGCCAAGTATAGTGTTTGTAAATTCTGCATATTAACCTTACCCTTAATGGCTGGGTTCCATGACTAAGAACATAAATACCGAAACAAGTACAGGTATGAGAATATTGACAGACTGTGGAATACAGATACACATGCAGCACTTAGGACAATAAGTGTCCTAAATTCTAATTAAATGTCTAAAGTGTTAAATTTGTTTTTATTCCAAAATATAAATACTGAGTGTTTATAGAGATAAAAAAAAAAAAAGGCTAAAATAAGCACAACATAAAAGTTTGAGTATTCAGCTATAGTCTGATGTCCTCACAAAAAGTATTAAAAGAAAATAATTTCAAGATGCTTTAAAATTACTTAGAGATTTCAAGCAAATTACTAAGAAACACTGAAAGATCTCTATGATCATTAGAGACTTCAAAATTATATGATAAACTAAATATGGGAGATTATAAGCATGGCTCTGCTCCTATAGGTACAAATAGGCTATCTCTTGCACAAGATGTTGAAAAATTATTGTTTATGGATAACAGTGCTGAGGCAATCTCCTGATTCAACATAAATATGTACATTATAAGTACATATGTACTTGGATCATCTTGCAGATTATACTACTTTTGTCATCACAGATCCATATCCTTATTCTCAACTGTATTATTAATTATGAGTTTGCAAAGATTATCTACTCATTAACCCTTTGACTGTTTCAGTCGTATATATACGTCTTACACGTTACTGTTTCGGACGTATTTATACGCGTAAATTCTAGCGGCTTCAAATCAAGCGGGAGAAAGCTGGTAGGCCCACATGTGAGAGAATGGGTCTGTGTGTTTAATATGCACCACATAAAAAAAATCCTGCAGCACGCAGTGCATAATGAGAAAAAAAAAATGACCATTTTTTTGGATTAAAATGCTGACTTTGAGGTGTATTTTCGTATGGTATTTATCGTTGTATTCTCGTTTTCATGGTCTCAGGTGATAAAATGGGAAACATATTACAGAAATAGAGATGATTTTGATTACTTTCACAATGAAAACGACCTTGAAATTGAGCTCAAAATAGCGGAAATGGTCGATTTTTACCAATGTTCAGGAGTAAGCAAATCACACCACACGTCCAATACACTTCAACTGGGGAGTCTAATATTCTTTCACTAGTGCACTGATATTATTTATACCATTTTTACAATAATGCATTAGTCTGCATAACAGTAAATTTTGTATTTTTTGTATGAGTAAAAATCAAAATAGAAAGCAATAGTAATATAAGAGGGGCCTAAAGACACAACTAATGAACAGAGGATATGCTATTTTAGTGCCAAGAATGTTTACATTATTTATTCTGGACCCTATTTTGAAATTAGCATCTTTTTTAATTAATTTGTGTGAAATTGGCCAAATTGCCAATTTCTGACAACTTTACTGAGTAGTTCAAATCGGTAAATGGGCAGTTTCTTGTACTCAACTGATAGAAAAAATGGAGTTCTAAAGAAATAGCTATGAGTTAATCGCCAATGTGTATATGTTGCTGAGACCACTAACTTTGCGGGAGCGTAATTCCGTGAGTTTTCGACCAAATTTCGTACTTTTGGTGTCATTACCATTGGGAAAAGATTCTCTATCATTTCATAAGATTTTTTTTTTTTTTTCAAAAAATTTATCGACATAGAATGAGAGTTTCAGAAAGGGGCCTGCGACAGTCAGAGGGTTAATGGATGAGAATTAACAAACTGTTGGGTAAATTGACATGTGCAATTAATAAGACATTTACTGTGTTTCACTTACTGGGATCTTTGTCACACCAGTCCAAACAATACAGTGAACAGACAAGGTATATAAAAGGAGTCCAGAAGGCAGGACATTCCTCAAGATAATAGTAGTGATGGCAGTAGTAGCAGTAAGTTAACATTGATCGTACTTAGTGTAAATTACCTAGGATAACCCAAAAAAGTTAATAGTACAGTGGACCCCCGGTATTCGATGGCATCGGTGTTCGATAAATCCGGTATTCGATGCATTTTAACGCAAAAATTTTGCCTCGGTATCCGATTGAAAACCCGGTATTCGATACGATTCGTACGAGACGTGTCCACGTGTGGCCTGAACTGCCCCTTGTGTGCCAGTGTTTACAAGCCAGCCAGTGTGCGCGCATCTAAGGATACATTCGGTACATTCCATATTATCCATATTATCACTGTGTTTGGTGCTTGTTTCTGCAAAACAAGTCACCCTGGGCCCCAAGAAAGCTTCTAGTGCCAACCCTGTGGTAAAAAGAGTGAGAATTAGTATGGAAATTAAGAAAGATTTTGAAGGGTTTGGGGCTAACCCTGAGAAGCCTATGCCAGTTGTGGAATCCATTGTGCCTACTTCAAAAATTAAGGAAATGTGTGCACAGTGAGTTGAAGTGCAAACCTTTATGGATGAAAATCACCCTAACACAGCTATTGCAAGCCGTGCTGGTGACTATTACAATGACAATGTTGTGGCTCATTTTAGACAAATCGTAAAGGAATGGGAGGTACAGAAGGGGATTCCCCTTCTAAACACTAACACCATCCACACTCTCCCCTCCTCCCATCCCATCAATCATCACCAGATCTTCAATAAAGGTAAGTGTCATGTAACTGTGCATGTCTTCTTTAGTTTGTGTGTATTAAAATTAATATTTCATATGGTAAAATTTTTTTTTTTCATACTTTTGGGTGTCTTGCACGGATTAATTTGATTTCCATTATTTCTTATGGGGAAAATTGATTCGCTTTTCGATATTTTTGGTATTCGATGAGCTATCAGGAACGAATTAATATCGAATACCGGGGGTCCACTGTAGTAGTAATGGTAGGTAGGTTATCAGGTAGTACTGTTCTAGTAATCCTGGTGTATTATGATTTCATGTGATGGTGGAATTGATAAGACCTATAAAATATGTGTCATTGAAAATGAAAGTAAATAATGCACACATTAATTGATAGGATAAGGAGAAATTCCTAGCTATACACCCAGACAGCAAACTAAAATTCAACACTTACATCCAACACATGTCTAAGAAAATTTCTAAAACAGTTGGCATTCTTTTAAAAGTGCATTGATATGTATCAGTAACAACATTACTCACTCTGTACACATATTTCACTTGTGGTATGCTTTTGTGTGTAGAAATTACAACACCAAATTGTAATGATCCCTTTATCAGTTTCCAGACAGAAATACCCTCATAGAATGTTCCCTTTATCAGTTTCCAGACAGAAATACCCTCGTATATTAAAAAGTTTAAATTTACTTAACATACAGAACATCCACATCTGCTAGTGTGCAATTCCTTTTTTGAAGACAGCCATGGGTCTGTTGGTAATCTCCCTTATATATGAAGGGGGGTCACCAAAAAGTCAGCAGTTCAGTAGCTTGTCTTTTGGACATCATCTGAGCCAGTAGGAGTGGGGGTCTGTGAAGGTGGCTTAGCAGTCAGTCAGCAGCAGGGTTGAATGTCTTTTTGGTAGCATCTCGGTCAATAACAGATCTTGTACTACATTTTATTGTTTGCTCTTTAGTTTGAAGCTATCACAGGTGTTTCCTGCATGGATTATTCCCCTTCATAACTGCATTTGTGTTATTACAGCATTTTTTGCATTATGTAGTCTTCATGGCCCCTAAAGTGTGCAGTAAACAAGCCATTTCTTTGAAGATCAAGCAAGAAATTAGTGCATTCATGCATGAGTAGGGCTTTCCACAGTCACCATATCTGCTATTATCAAACAAATGGAAATAAAGAATAATGAAGTGGCTGATGAATCTAGTAAAAAAAAAGCCGGAAAATTATCTTAGAGATGGAAAGACTGTTGTTGTTGGGGATAAGAGAGAAGCAGATGAAGGGAGATACAGTCCACGGTACAATAATAGTTGCACTTCTGGGGTCTTGGAACAAATTTCCATAAAACCATGTATTTTGGAGTTTGAGTCCCAATAGTTTTAAGGTACAGTATGTCTTAATGGAACAGATAAATAGCATAACTCAGGGTACCATTGTACATTGTTCTTAGTTGTGTGATTAATGATTATAATTTTTAGCTTGTATAAAATTTTCGTCAACTTGTATGGGTATAAAACTTGCAGATTTGAAGGAGACCGAGGAAGTCTGGAGTCAAGATATAAAGATCATGTCCCGGTAGACAAATATTCAGTTGATGGGTGGCGGCAGAGAACCAGTTCTCATAGAAAGTGCTCCAGGAGTCCTCCAGATTTTACACCCAGAAGAGAGGAACCAAGATCATACTCACAACCCCACAGGCTCTCTAGGGAGTCTAGCGATAGGTAAAGGATTAAATTTCATTATGTTGCTGGACAGAAAGTGAGAAACCACTTAGATAGAATACTTAAAAAACAGATAAAAAGCAATTTGTATATTTTGGCCTCAGAGAGAGACTTGAGCAGATAAGGATGAAATTATACAGACCTTTCTTTACCTGTTTCAATTATAAAAAGACAAAGACAAAGATTTTATTTCTTTGCAAGGTTACAATGTGTATTTGCAATTTTGATTTGCTAAGTACAAAGAAAGCCGTTATCATGCCAGGGCATTTCGGGCAGACTTATCCTAGTATGTAATAACTACTAAAGTCTAGACAAGATAAGAGTCATTAACTTTTTAATAAATCTTTATTTTATCTTAATACATGCTAATGTGAGGTAGTCAAGATGAAAGTTTATAAGAACAATCTTGAAAGTTGCACATAATACAAACAATATTACAATTAATGGTTCAGACAGTAATATTTCATGGATTGGTAGTTGTTTTAATAGAATCGAGGTCATATAATATTTGAGAGTTTCTTCAAACTGGTTAGAAGTTGTTTTGGTTAGTATTGAGAGATGAGATGATTTTTAAGCATAGCGCTAAATTTGTATCTGTCCCAGGGGGTTTCTCACTGTTTGTAAATCAGTGGTTGTGACGCTTTAGTTCAAGCATATTGTCAAATGAGTATATTAAGATCCTTTCAGAAAATTATTTTTAAAATTGTATAGTTTTCATCATTGCTTCGTCTTCTATTTAAAAGGGAAAAAAATTCAGAAAATTTTTGCTAATACTAAATATTTTACTATATAGCATTCTTGTATGCCAAATTCTCTTTCTTTCTGAATGATAGCTTTGGAAATGGGTCAGTTTTCAGTAAATTTCTTAACTTTCTCGTAATCTCTGTCTTGCTCTCTTTTTTTCTCATTTCTCTCTCTCTCAGTCATCTTTTGGCAGGTGAGATGCTGCTGGAAGTAGGCTGGGTATGGAAAAGTATCTGTCTGTTTGTGGTTGTAAGCGGTCAAGTTTCAGCTTCAGACCCTTTCTCATTGCTCAAGGTACTAGGCAATTTTCAATGAAAATCTTCCTGATCATTTCCCTTGAACCACATTACTTCATACCAAGCCTTGTACAGTCTCTCTTTAGCCCTTTTGAGGTTGGTCCCTTTGTTCTACAACTGTGTAGCCTGGGTTGGTCCCGTAGTTCTATGCCATGAGCTCGGCTCTCTCAGAGAAGTTGTGAGCAGTAAATTTGGGCCTAGATATGTGAGAATGGGCCTATGTGGTAAGTGTACACCATATAAAATAAATACAGCACGCAGTGCATTTTGGGAAAAAACTGCAACATTGTTTTTGGTTTAAAACAGCGATTTTGTGGTGTATTTTAGTATGGTTTTTATGGGTGTATTCTCGGTTTCTTGATCTCATTTGATACAATGGAAGACATATTACAGAAATAAAGATGATTTTGATTTGTTTCAGTAACTTGAAATTGAACTAAAAATAGCAGAAATGTTCAATTTTTGCTGATACACTTATTCCAGAGTACACAAATTACATCACTTGTCCAATTCTTCTTCTTCTTTCAACAAACCAATCATATCCCACCAAAGCAGGGTGGCCCAAAAAGAAAACAAAAGTTTCTCTCATTAACTTTAGTAATGCATACAGGAGAAGGAGTTACTAGTCCCTTGCTCCCAGCATGTTAGTTGTCTCTTGCGACACACATAGCTTACAGAGGAAGAATTCTGTTCCACTTCCCCATCCATCCACTTCCACGTCCAACAATTATTACAATAATGCAGTAGTCTGGATAGCAGTAAATCTTCTATTGTTTATGTGAATAAAAATTCAAAATGGAAAACAAGCATAATAGAGGAGAGGCCTGAGGATGTGACTAATGAACAGAGGAAATATTGTTTAGTGCCAGGAATGTCTACATTGTATATTCTGGACCCTATTCTAAAATTGTCAATTTTTGAATTTTGTGTAAATTTGGCCCAATTACCAATTTCTGATCACTTTATTAGGTAGTTGAAATACGTAAATGGGCATTTTCTTGTATTCAGTTGGTAGAATAGAAGAAATGTTGTACTAATGAAATAGCTATGAGTTTGGTTAACTGTAGGAGTGGAATTGGCCAAAAATAAGGCTCAGTGGGTAAAATCACCAATACATAATATTGCTGAAACTGCTAACTTTGTGAGAGTGTAATTCCATTCAGTTTTTAAAAGAAGATAAAATTTTGTACTTTTGATTTCATTACATTTGGAAAAAGTCTCTCTCTCATTTCATAAGAAAAAATATTCTCCAATCCTGAGAGTAAGTTTCAGATCGGGTTCCGACCCTGAAAGAGTTAAAATATTTTCATAATTTTTTTATGTCTAAAGCACTGGTATTTTTTATTCAATGTAGTTACAGTATTTTACTCATGGCATATTCGTTTCAGATATAATCGTGATCGAAGTAGTAAAAGCTCCAGGAGTCCTGGAAGATGCTCTAGTTCCTCACAGCCACGGTCGCCAGAAAGAAAAAGGTAAACTGGCTAATGGAGATGTTAGGTACACATACATCACCAATTTGTAATCCTGATTTTTCATGTCACTACCAGCTATAGGTGTCCCTTACTTAATGCAGGTTTGCTATATGCAAATTCACTGTTGTATGATGTCCCATTTATTTTGGTAATTTTGTTGTTTGTTGTATGTAATTACTGTAATTAGCAAAATGTGTTGAATAATGTTATTGTGCAGAATTAAATATTGATGGCATGGGTTTGAAGCACATCTGCTACATAGAGCAAAGGACACCTGTATATCAGATAATTTTTTTAGGAGGAAACTCTTTATTGATACATTTCACCCATAGGTGGGCTTTGTCAAGTATGTGCAAAACATGAGAAAATATAACCTTAAGCACACACTGCAACTGAGGTCAGGTGAAAGATCAGGAAGTGGAGCATCAGAGGAGCACAGTAGGAGGCCTACTGGCCCACACTATATTTTATAACTTTTTTCAATGTCCAGGCTACTAAGCTTAATATTGTTCCCAATATTTTACACTCCTCTTCTTTCAACAAACTGACCATATGCCACTGAGGCAGGGTGACCTAAAAAGAAAAGCAATAGTTTTTTTTTTTTAAATTCAGTAATTTGTACAGGAGAAGAGGTTAATATTTTTTATTATTTTCTATTATTATTACAGGCCTTAGTTTCTTTGACTTCATTAATATACTTTTTGTCTTTTTTATAACTTACTGAAAAGTGCAGGGCATACTTGTGACTAGTTTTGAGGGTTTTTTTACCCTTACAGACCAGTCTAAGGCCAGGCTTTCTTGTTGACTGCATGATCATCCAGGCTGTTGCAGCTAATGTGTAGCTTAAGACTGCTTAGATTAATAGTTAATCAACATTACTTATCTTATTGATGAAGATGGCATGCTTCAAGAAGCCCAGATCGTCACAGAAACCCTGAACATGCAGGAAATAATAAAAAAAGGGAGAAGGACTTACCTGACATAAAGGAGAAGCAGGAACCAGAAAATATGGAAGTTTTGGAGGAGGAAGAACCTCAGCAGCTGGCTGGGGAAGAAATAGTAGAAGATGAAGAAGAAGAAGAAGAAGAAGTAAAGACAGCATGGGTAAGGTCAGCCCCAGCTGATCTTTATTACCAACGAGATGAAAAGTAAGTGGATTTTGTTAGTGTGACTAACTTAGTGGCTTCTAAATAATTTTCATTAATGTGCTGTATTATAAAAAAAATTACTCTCATCTACTTAATTTTTTAGTCTTCATTTCACAGTATTAACCCTTTCAGGGTCCAGAGGCCAAATTTCAAAGTGTGTACCAGTGTCCAAGAATTTTCAAAAAATAATTTTGTTATTTTTTCTTATGAAATGGTAGAGAATCTTTTTCTGAAGGTAATAAAACAAAAGTACGAAATTTGGTGGAAAACTGACGAAATTATGCTCTCGCGAATTTTGATGTGTCAGCAAAATTTATGCATCGGCGATTTTGCCGACTTTGACTCCCATTTTAGGCCAGCCGACCAAATTCTTAGTTATTTCAATAGTTTTACTTCTGTTCTATCGATTGAGCACAGGAAATCGCCAAATCAACTGTTTCAACTACAAAATAATGTGATCAGAAATTGGTAATTTGGCCAATTTAGTGCAATGTTCTAAATATTCCAATTTCAAAATAGGGTCCAGAATAAACAATGCAGGCATTCCTGGCACTAAACTAACATTTCCTCTGTTCATTAGTTACATTTTCAGGCTTTACAAATGAATTCCATTTTATTTTTTTATTCACATAATGGATTTTTATTCAAACCAAAAAATATAAGATTTCCTGTTATGCAATATTGTAATAATTGTATAAATAATATCACCACATTTGTGAACGTATATTTGACCCACCAGCTGTCATGTATTAGACATGTGAGGTCATTTGTTTACTCTTGAGCATCGACAAAAATTTAACATTTTCACTACTTTGAGCTCAATTTCAAGCCATTTCCAATACTAAAACCAATCAGAATCATCTCTATTTCTGTAATATATCTTCCATTCTATCAAATGAGACCAAGAAATTTCAAATACAACCATAAAAAACATACAAAAAAACACTGCAAAGTCGCTTTTTTAATCGAAAATTATGGTCTAAGTTTTTTTTCTCTCATTTTGCGCTGTGCACTGCAGGATATGTTTAATGTAGTGCACACATACCACATAGATATATTCTCTCATATCTAGGCCCAAATTTACTTCTCACAGCTTATCAGGGTGACCTGAGCTCATGGCACGGACCCTGAAAAGGTTAATATGGTCTATTTCAGGCCTCAAGAGACTTAGGTATATCATCATTAAATCTGGAAAACCTAACCTAACTATGTGTAAACAGAACTGACAAAGATAAACAAAACTCAAAAAATCTATGATAAATGCTTCAAGTTCAAACTAATTTTGGGAGGACAAAGAATACTCCTAGTGCTCTCTTTAACTTATGGAAGTGGCTGTGTGACCTGTATTTGGTAATTTGTTGCTGTTATTATTGTTGATTCACTTTATTGTTATTAGTGTTGATTCACTTGTATTATTATTATTGTTGATTCACTTTATTGTTATTAGTGTTGATTCACTTGTACTATTATTATTGCGGATTCACTTATTATTATCGTCAATTCACTTTACTGTTATTATTGTTGATTCACTCTACTATTATTATTGTTGATTTATTTTACTGTTATTATTGTTGATATCACTGTACTATTATTATTGTTGATTCACTTTACTATTATTAGTATATTACAGTATTATTAATTTTTATTATTTGTCAGTTGTGTATTATTTTTGTATTGTTGTTATTATTGTTCATCACACAAGATACAATGTTACTCATGCACCCTGGTATAACATAGTTGTAATGTGCAAACTAAACTCTTGATTTAAATTGCAAATTTTGAAAAGTTACAGTATAAATATCCAGTGAAACCTTGATTTAACAAACAAATAAGGAGGAAAGGCTGTCTGGCAATGCTGATTGTCTCTTAAATCTAAATACTGAGATTGTTTTACCATGATTGTAACATACGGCTTTGAGTGCTAGAGGCTTGGACCTCCAACAGGCTTGTGTGAGCATTTTTTTTTTTTTAAACCTCACTTTTACAGGCTCAGAGCTGCTATCTTACCTCATTTCATTTCAAAACCCAGCCCTACCTAAGGTATACTATCACTCCTGGAATGCAACTCACAACAGTTGACTAACAATCAGGAACCTATTTACTGTTAGGTGAATTGAGTGTGCTACCAATTGTTCCATAGGATTGAGTGGAGCCAAGTGGTTTTTATGATTTAATGTGCTGTTGGAGTGTGAGGAGGGTAACATTCATAAAAGACTTGTTGAAATTCAGAAGGTCATCTGAGCTGTAATGTCAGCACACTTCTAGGAAGATAGTGACTGAATGATGGTGAAAGTGTTTCCTCTTTTTCAGGTCACCCTACCTTGATAGGAGACTGTCAGTGGGTTAAAAAATATATCAGTAACAGACAATTTCATTGGTTCTGAACAGTACCAGTTAACCCTTTCAGGGTTTCCGACGTACTAGTACAGCTTACGCACCAGGGTTATTGACGTACTAGAACGCCTAAATTCTAGCGCTTTCAAGTATAGTGAGAGAAAGCTGGTAGGCCTTCATATGAAAGAATGGGTCTCTGTGGTCAGTGTGCACAGTATAAAAAAAATCCTGCACCACACAGTGTATAATGAGAAAAAAAAAACTCCCACCATGTTTTTGGTTTAAAACAGCGACTTTGCAGTGTATTTTCGTATGGTATTTATGATTGTATTTTAGTTCTCCTGGTCTCATTTTATAGAATGGAAGACATATTGCAATGATTTTGATTGGTTTCTTAATGAAAAGTACCTTGAAACTGAGCTCAAAGTAGCAGAAATGTTTGATTTTTACCGAAGTTCAAAAGTAAACAAATCATGCCATGCATCCAATACACTTCAACTGGTGAGTTTAATATTCTTTCACAAGTGCGCTGATATTATTTATACCATTTCTACACCATTTATACACTAATGCAGTAGTCTGCATAACAGTAAATCTTATATTTTTTATGAGAATAAAAATTCAAAGTGGAAAGCAAAAGAGATGTAAGAGGGGCCTGGGAACATGACTAATGAACAGAAGAAGTGTTATTTTAGTGCCAGGAATGTCTGTCTTGTTTATTCTGGACCATATTTGGAAATTGGCATCTTTTGAAATTTGAGTGAAATTGGCAAAATTGCCAATTTCTGACCACTTTATTGGATAGTTGAAATCTGTAAATGGGTGGTTTCTTGTACTCATTCGATAGCAAAAATGGAGTTCTAGCAAAATAGATATGATATTTGTCAACTAGTACACTGGAATTGGCCGAAAATAGGACTCAAAGTGGGCGAAATCGCTGATGCGTAAACATCGTCAAGACCGCTAACTTCGCGAAGCATAATTCCGTAAGTTTTCCATCAAATTTCATACTTTTGGTGTCATTATGATCAGGAAAAGACTCTCTATCATTTCATAAGAAAAAATAATATTTTTTTTTTTCCAAAAAATTTTCAACCCTGAGAATGAGTTTAGGAGAGGGCCTCTTGACCCTGAAAGGGTTAAAGTAACAATAAAGGACAATTCTGTAACCAATGAACTTTGTTGTTTACAGATAGTGCTGTATACAGTGCTGTTCACAGTACCATTCATATGGATTACATTGCTAAAAACTGGCATTGTATTCAAATTAGTGTTATTCGAAGCAAGAAATATACAGGGGAAAAATAGTTACTTTTCTTGGAATCCTCCTCCAACCAAGAAAAAAGGGCAAGTTTTTCAAAAATAGTCAAAAAAGTCAAAAGAAAGTTTTATCTTTCCTTAACCCTTAAACGGTCCAAACGTATGTATACGTTTTTACCGCTAGTGCCCCAAACGTATATATACATTTTATTTGTCATACATTCAACATTGCCACGATAAGCCTGAGTTGCCTAGACATGAGAGAATGGGTGTGCGCACTCACTGTGCGCCATATTAAAATAATTGGGGATGCCTGGGTACCATATGCTCTTTTTTCCTATTAAAAAACAACGATTTTTTTTTTCTCAAATTTGGGGCACTACGGGAGAGAATGTATATATATGTTTGGACCGTTTACGGGTTAAAGTATGAAATTTGATGGAAAATTGATGAAATTATGCTCTTGTGAAGTTTGCTGTCAGCAGTATTTATGCATCGGAATTTTTACTCACTTTGAGTCCTATTTTAGGCCAATTACATGGTTCCAGTTGACCAAATTCTTAGCTATTTTGCTAGTATGTCTCCCATTTTGTCAATTGAGCACAAGAAATTACCCAGTCAACTATTTCAACTACCCAATAGAGTGATCAGATATTGGTAATTTGGTCAGGTTCACATAAATTTCAAAACAGGGTTTAGAATAAGCAATGCAGGAATTCCTGGTACTAAAATAACATTTCCTCTGTTCATTAGTTACAGGCTTTACACATGATTTTTTTTTTTTACGCAAAAAATAGAAGATTTACCATTATGCAATATTGTAATAACTGTATAAATAATATCAGCCTATTCTTTCTTCTTCTTTCAACACACCGGCCATATCCCACCAAGGTGGGGTGGCCCAAAAGGAAAAACAAAAGTTTTTCCTTTCAAATTTAGTAATATATACAGGAGAAGGGGTTACCAGCCCCTTGCTCCCGGCATTTCAATCGCCTCTTACGACACGCATGGCTTACGGAGGAAGAATTCTGTTCCACTTCCCCATGGAGAATCAGCCTATTCTTTTTTTTTTTTTTTTTTCAACAAGACGGTCGTCTCCCACCGAGGCAGGGTGACCCAAAAAAAGAAAGAAAATCCCCAAAAAGAAAATACTTTCATCATCATTCAACACTTTCGCCACACTCACACATTATCACTGCTTTTGCAGAGGTGCTCAGAATACAACAGTTTAGAAGCATATATGTATAAAGATACACAACATATCCCTCCAAACTGCCAATATCCCAAACCCCTCCTTTAAAGTGCAGGCATTGTACTTCCCATTTCCAGGACTCAAGTCCGACTATATGAAAATAACCGGTTTCCCCGAATCCCTTCACTAAATATTACCCTGCTCAAACTCCAACAGATCGTCAGGTCCCAAGTATCATTCGTCTCCATTCACTCCTATCTAACACGCTCATGCACCCTTGCTGGAAGTCCAAGCCCCTCGCCCACAAAACCTCCTTTACCCCCTCTTTCCAACCCTTTCGAGGACGACCCCTACCCCTCTTTCCTTCCCCTATAGATTTATATGCTTTCCATGTCATTCTACTTTGATCCATTCTCTCTAAATGACCAAACCACCTCAACAACCCCTCTTCTGCCCTGTGACTAATGCTTTTATTAACTCCACACCTTCTCCTAATTTCCACACTCCGAATTTTCTGCATAATATTTACACCACACATTGCCCTTAGACAGGACATCTCCACTGCCTCCAACCGTCTCCTCGCTGCTGCATTTACCACCCAAGCTTCACATCCATATAAGAGTGTTGGTACTACTATACTTTCATACATTCCCTTCTTTGCCTCCATAGATAACATTTTTTGACTCCACATATACCTCAATGCACCACTCACCTTTTTTCCCTCATCAATTCTATGATTAACCTCATCCTTCATAAATCCATCCGCCGACACGTCAACTCCCAAGTATCTGAAAACATTCACTTCTTCCATACTCCTCCTCCCCAATTTGATATCCATTTTTTCTTTATCTAAATCATTTGATACCCTCATCACCTTACTCTTTTCTATGTTCACTTTCAACTTTCTACCTTTACACACATTCTCAAACTCATCCACTAACCTTTGCAATTTTTCTTTAGAATCTCCCATAAGCACAGTATCATCAGCAAAAAGTAACTGTGTCAATTCCCATTTTGAATTTGATTCCCCATAATTTAATCCCACCCCTCTCCCGAACACCCTAGCATTTACTTCCTTTACAACCCCATCTATAAATATATTAAACAACCATGGTGACATTACACATCCCTGTCTAAGACCTACTTTTACCGGGAAGTATTCTCCCTCTCTTCTACACACCCTAACCTGAGCCTCACTATCCTCATAAAAGCTCTTTACAGCATTTAGTAACTTACCACCTATTCCATAAACTTGCAACATCTGCCCATTGCTCCTCTATCCACTCTATCATATGCCTTTTCTAAATCCATAAATGCAATAAAAAACTTCCCTACCTTTATCAAATACTGTTCACATATATGCTTCAATGTAAACACTTGATCTACACATCCCTACCCACTCTGAAGCCTCCTTGCTCATCCGCAATTCTACATTCTGTCTTACCTCTAATTCTTTCAATTATAATCTCGACCGTATACTTTTCCTGGTATACTCGTAAACTTATTCCTCTATAAGTTTTACAATCTCTTTTGTCCCCTTTCCCTTTATAAAGGGACTATACATGCTCTCTGCCAATCCCTAGGTACCTTCCCCTCTTTCATACATTTATTAAACAAAAGTACCAACCACTCCAACACTATATCCCCCCCTGCTTTTAACATTTCTGTCATGATCCCATCAGTTCCAGCTGCTTTACCCCCTTTCATTTACGTAATGCCTCACGTACCTCACCACACTTACATTCTGCTCTTCTTCACTCCTAAAAGATTGTATACCTCCCTGGCCAGTGCATGAAATTACCGCCTCCCTTTCTTCCTCAACATTTAAAAGTTCCTCAAAATATTCTCGCCATCTACCTAATACCTCCCTCTCCCCATCTACTAACTCCCCTACTCTGTTTTTAATGGACAAATCCATACTTTCCCTAGGCTTTCTTAACTTGTTTAACTCACTCCAAAATTTTTTCTTATTTTCATTAAAATTTCTTGACAGTGCCTCTCCCACTCTTTCATCTGCTCTCCTTTTGCACTCTCTCACCACTCTCTTCACCTTTCTTTTACTCTCCATATACTCTGCTCTTCTTATAACACTTCTGCTTTGTAAAAACCTCTCGTAAGCTACCTTTTTCTCTTTTATCACACCCTTTACTTCATCATTCCTCCAATCACTCCTCTTTCCTCCTGCCCCCACCCTCCTATAACCACAAACTTCTACCCCACATTCTAATACTGCATTTTTAAAACTATTCCAACTCTCTTCAACCCCCCCACTACTCATCTTTGCACTAGCCCACCTTTCTGCCAATAGTCGCTTATATCTCGCCCGAACTTCCTCCTCCCTTAGTTTATACACTTTCACCTCCCTCTTACTTGTTGTTGCCACCTTCCTCTTTTCCCATCTACCTCTTACTCTAACTGTAGCTACAACTAAATAATGATCCGATATATCAGTTGCCCCTCTATAAACATGTACATCCTGGAGCCTACCCATCAACCTTTTATCCACCAATACATAATCTAACAAACTACTTTCATTATGTGCTACATCATACCTTATATATTTATTTATCCTCTTTTTCATAAAATATGTATTACTTATTACCAAATTTCTTTCTACACATAGCTCAATTAAAGGCTCCCCATTTACATTTACCCCTGGCACCCCAAATTTACCTACTACTCCCTCCATAACATTTTTACCCACTTTAGCATTGAAATCCCCAACCACCATTACTCTCACACTTGATTCAAAACTCCCCACGCATTCACTCAACATTTCCCAGAATCTCTCTCTCTCCTCTACACTTCTTTCTTCTCCAGGTGCATACACGCTTACTATAACCCACTTTTCACATCCAATCTTCATTTTACTCCACATAATCCTTGAATTTATGCATTTGTAGTCCCTCTTTTCCTGCCATAGCTTATCCTTCAACATTATTGCTACTCCTTCTTTAGCTCTAACTCTATTTGAAACCCCTGACCTAATCCCATTTATTCCTCTCCATTGAAACTCTCCCACCCCCTTCAGCTTTGTTTCACTTAAAGCCAGGACATCCAGTTTCTTCTCATTCATAACATCCACAATCATCTCTTTCTTATCATTTGCACAACATCCACGCACATTCAGACTTCCCACTTTGACAATTTTCTTCTTCTTATTCTTTTTAGTAATCTTTACAGGAAAAGGGGTTACTAGCCCATTGTTCCCGGCATTTTAGTTGACTTTTACAACACGCATGGCTTACGGAGGAAAGATTCTTATTCCACTTCCCCATGGATATAAAAGGAAAAGTAATAAGACCAAGAACTATTAAGATAAAATCATAAAAAACTCAGATGAGTGTGTATAAATAAACATGTACATGTATGTGTAGTGTGACTTAAGTGTAAGTAGAAGTAGCAAGACGTACCTGTAATCTTGCATATTTATGAGACAGACAAAAGACACCAGCAATCCTGCCATCATGTAAAACAATTACAGGCTTTCGTTTTACACTCACTTGGCAGGACGGTAGTACCTCCCTGGGTGGTTGCTGTCTACCAACCTACTACCTATTCATGAATGCATATTAGACCCACCAGTTGGACGTGTATTGGTCGAGTGACGTGATTTGTTTAGTCTTGAATATCAGCAAAAATCGAACATTTCTGCTACTTTGAGCTAAATTTCAAGTTATTTTCAATCCTGAAAAATAATGAAAATCATCTCTATTCCTGTAATATATTTTTAGTTCTGTCAACGAGACCAAGAAACTGAGAATACAACCATAAAAACCATATGAAAATACACTGCAAATTTGCTGTTTTAAACCAAAAACTTGATCACAGATCTTTTTCTCATTATGCACTGCCTGTTGCAGTATTTTTCTATATGTGTACACTTATCACATAGACCCATTCTCTCATATCTAGGCCCAAATTTTCCACTCACAGCTTATCTGAGTGTGCTGAGCTCATGGCTTAGTACTATGGCACTGACAGTGATAGGATTAAATAACAGGAAGTTGCATATAAATATTTCAAGTCTAAAGGTATTTTTAACTTTGAACTTTTAAAGTGTAAGCCAGGTGAGATTGCCTGTATATTTTTGTAATAATTAAAAAAAAAGGCCCTTTTATCATTGATGTGGTTCAGTGGTAGTACAGGCAAAGAATCAGGATTGATTCTATAGCAGTTTGAGACGTTAGGCATATTTCTTTACACATGTTGTCCCTGTTCAACTGACTTTTGGTGGCATCCTGGAGGACAGTAGCATACCTCTGATAGGATTGAGTTTTGAAATGAGCTAAGAAATGAGGGCACGTCTAAGCCTGTAAAATTCAACATCGTGAAATTATAATTATTTTTTTATGTTTAATTGGTGATTGTGTAATAGTTTCAGTAACCCATCTTGTGTATTCCTCTACAGAAATCCTCTAGTCATGCGAGCGACAAAAAAATTAATTTTATTATGTGATAACATGGACGAAAAATTGATAAAGAGAGGAATGAAGATTAGAGAAGACAAGAAGAAACTGAGAGAAAAAAAAGAATGGGAACAACAGCAACAACCTCTTGGTAGGTTGAAATTTACTCTTGTGTGTTGTGTATGGGAATCCTTCCTGTAATATTATATTTGCTGATATAAGAATCATTGCTGTCATAAGAGTCTTTGTTCAGTGGCTCTACACTTTCCAAACTGTGTAGTTAACCTTATGGATGCCAGTGGTACAGTGGCCTGTGCAATGCAGACCATGTGGAAAAAGACACTGATGTACAGTTCAGGGCATTTATTAGAAGAAACATTTAGCCATAAGTGGCTTCTCCAGGACTAAAGAATCCACTCATGGTGAAATGTTTCCTCTAATAAATATCCTGAACTGTATGTGTCTTTTTCTGCATCTTGTTGGCATCACTATACTATTTTTCAATGCAGCTCATCACTTCATTGATGGAAGACCTGGTGTTGGAAGTGTTTGTAATAAAGATACAGGTAATAAACATGGCACAGAGATTGTAAATAAATTGCCTGTAAATGTGTCCTGGTGGCAGTAAAGAAATAGATAGTGAACATAGCTTGACAGTGGTGTTGTAGGAGACAGGCAATGAAGAAACTAGTAATGGATGACTTCTTAGCAGATTGAAGCCCATATCTTGTTCCTGGTACTCGCTAAAAAGAGTCATCCAAGAGAAATGGAATGTTGTTGATCAGTTTGTTAATCAGTTTGTCCTTTACTGGTTAGGGTGTGAACAGCTGAAAAAGGTTCTTACATAGGTTCACCCTGTTATTAGCATAAATTATGGTGAAACCCATAATTAGACTGTCTATGACATACTGTTGAGTGGAGATGAGGGAAGTCAGGAATATGCGGGACTCCTCATTCTATGAACGATGCTCCATAATAGAGTTTACCTGGTGTATAACCTGTGATTGTTCCATGCAATTCTTAAGGATACATAGCAGCAAGTCATAGTAAAAAGTGTTGCCATTTGTCATAATATTATCTAAAGAATTTTACCAGTGAGTTTCAGAAATGTCACTAGTCTATAGTTATTGGTCATCGCTCAGCTCTTTAATGAGCTGGGACTACATTTTCTTTCCTTAACAGAGAGAGGTATTGCCCTGGGCTAGGCCAAGTTTGTAGTTGTGAAATAGAGGAAATGCTAGCTAGTTAGCACATTTACTTAGCAATCTTGGGTTCACGTTGTTTGGTTCCACAGCCATTTATGTTACCAGTGATTGAAGGAGGAAATATACCTCATTCTTTTTTATGTTGCCTTAGGTTGCTGCAACACACTTCTTGCAGCTAATCTCGGAGGTTGATAGTCTTGATTTGGGCCTTTCATCTGTACAGCAAAATGATCTGCTAGTAGTTTATATTTTTTATTGCTGGTAGAACATTGTGTTCTTTTGAGATATTGCCTGGTTGTCCTTGACAACAGACAACTGGGCTTTGGAACCCACTCTTCCTAATACCACTTTTATATTGTGTCCATCTACCATCTAAAGATGACCAAGCATTGGACTTCCTCACATGTAACTTCACATGGGTTGCTTTGCAGCCTATGTGAGGTTACATACTGCTAGGGTAGAAGAATCTTCAAAACCAGTCACAGAGATGCTGGAGAATCCAGATCTAACTGGCTTGGTTGTTGGCATCACACTGAAGCAAGGTATTAAATTCGGTGATGACAAACTCTTAGTCAAGTTATGCTGAATGATATTTCGCCTTATTATGTCTGTATGTTCCATGTAGTAAAAATAGCTTTTGATCAGATGAACTGAAAAATCCAAGTGTTTTGCAAGTAACTGTCTTCTGATAAATCACTTACTACTAGATCATGAGAGGAAAATCTGTATCATTACTTTATTCTCCATGTGGTGTGGGCTTTATCTTGTATTTTTTCACTTAATTTAAAAAGTAATGTGCTTTGTTTAGCTTGCAGAAATAGTTGCAACAACATAACAAGTGATTGTAGTACAGATGAAATGGCTGCAGTTGAAGCAGCAGGTGATAATATGGGTCATAATGTTGAGGTTAATAACACTAAAGAAGAAAGTGAAGTATATAAGAATAACTGTGACAAAGATGATAAAGAAACTAGTGTGCATTGTGGTGGTGACTCCGACATATGTATGGAGAGAAGTGAAGAAGATGAAAAATTCATGAATTCAAATGAAGAAATTCATAGTGAGAGCAAATGTGATAAAGTGCAGTCAGAGACAATAAAAGAATGTGAACACAAGCATAAGCACAAAAAGAAGCAAGATTTTGATGGTGATTGCAGCACAACAGAAAATTGTGATAGCAACTGTAGTAGTAGCAATGGCAGTGATAGTGACAGTACTTCAAGCAGTGATGATGATGACGAGAATGAAATGGACAGAATCTCCAAAGAACTTGAGAAAAAACGTAACCATCCTGACCGTTTACATCCAGAATTATGGTTCAATGATTCTGGGGAAGTGAGTACCTTTTTTTTCCTCAATATTTTCTATTAGAGTTTTTTTTTTTTTGTTGTTAAATGTTTGTTATTAAATTTATTATATATATATCATTTTATTAATTTTCCCCTAAATATGTGAATAAGTAATGTAATATATCCTCATCATGGAGGATAGTTTACAGCTGATTTTTTTTTATTAACAAGTCAGCTGTCTCCCACCGAGGCAGGGTGACCCAAAAAGAAAATCCCCAAAAAGAAAATACTTCATCATAACTCATACATAATCACTGTCTTTGCAGAGGCATTCAGATATGACAGTTTAGAAGTCCCTCCAGACTGTCAATATCCCAGACCTCTCCTTTAAAGTACAGGCATTGTACTTCCAATTTCCAAGACTCAAGTCTGGCTAAATTTACAATAACTGGTTTACTTGAATCCCTTCACTAAATATTACCCTGCTCACACTCCAACAGCTCGTCAAGTCTCAAAAACTATTTGTCTCCATTTACTCCTATCTAACACGCTCACACATGCTTGCTGGAAGTCCAAGCCCCTCGCCCACAAAACCTCCTATACCCTCTCCCTCCAACCTTTTCAAGGACGACCCCTATCCCTCCTTCCTTTCCCTACAGATTTATACGCTCTCCAAGTCATTCTACTTTGATCCATTCTCTCTAAATGACCAAACCACCTCAACAACCTCTTTTCAGCCCTCTGACTAATACTTTTAGTAACTCCACACCTCCTCCTAATTTCCACACTCTGAATTCTCTGCATAATATTTACACCACACATTGCCCTTAGGACATCTCCACTTCCTCCAACCGCCTCCTCGCTGCAGCATTTACAACCCAAGCTTCACACCCATATAAGAGTGTTGGTACCACTATACTTTCATACATTCCCCTCTTTGCCTCCATAGATAACATTTTTTGTCTCCACATATACCTCAATGCACCACTCACCTTTTTTTCCTTCAGCAATTAGCTGAATTACCTTTTCTAATTTGGTTTAGGTGATACCTTAAGTTTCTTTGTAATCACTTTTAGCCTGAAATACATTAACGCTTTCAGGGTCGACAGACCCTCTCAGAGACTTGTTCTCAGGGTCGGCCAAATTTAAAAAAAAAAAAAAATTTTTTCTTATGAAAAGATAGAGAATCTTTTCCTGATCATAATGACACCAAAAGTATGAAATTTTATGGAAAACTTACGGAATTATGCTCTCGTGAAGTTAGCGGTCTCGACGATGTTTATGCATCGGCGATTTTGCCCACTTTGAGCCCTATGTTCAGCCAATTCCAGTGTACTTGTTGACAGAAATCATAGCTATTTTGCTAGAACTCCATTTTTTCTGTTGAATGAATACAAGAAACCACCCATTTACCAATTTCAACTATCCAATACAGTGGTCAGAATTTAGCAATTTTTTTCAATTTCACACAAATTTCAAAAGATGCCAATTTCCAAATAGGGTCCAGTATAAACAAGAAAGACATTCCTGGCACTAAAATAACATTTCCTCTGTTCATTAGTCACGTCAATAAATAACACAAAAAGGCACAATACCGTGACTGGAACGATACACAAATAACCTGCACATAAAAGAGAGAAGCTTACGACGACGTTTCGGTCCGACTTGGATCATTTACAAAGTCACACTAACCAGAAGTGGAGCAGGACGGCTATATATAGGCAGAAAGAGGTGGTGGTAGTAGTAGTACAAGAATGGTATATAATACCGACAAGATGAAATTAAGACACATGCGCAACACCCATCCCCATGCCCCTCTTACATTCTTTTGCTTTCCACTTTGAATTTTTATTCTCACAAAAAAATAGAAGATTCACTGTTATGCAGACTGCTGCATTGGTGTAGAAATGGTATAAATATTATCAGCGCACTTGTGAAAGATTATTAGACTCACAAGTTGACGTGTATTGGACGCATAGCTTGATTTGTTTACTTTTGAACTTTGGTAAAAATCAAACATTTCTGCTACTTTGAGCACAATTTCAAGGTAGTTTTCTTTGTAAAACCAGTCAAAATCATCTCAATTTCTGTAATATGACTTCTATTCCATAAAATGAGACCAGGAAAACTAGAATACAACAATAAATACCATACGAAAATACAGTGCAAAGTCGCTCTTTTAATCCAAAAACACAGTCAGTTTTTTTTTTTCTCATTACGCACTGTGTGCTGCAGGATTTTTTTTATACCGCGCACACTGACCACATAGACCCATTCTTTCATATGTAGGCCTACCAGCTTTCTCTCACTGGATTTGAGGGCGCTAGAATTTAGGCGTACTAGTATGTCAAAAACTGTGGTGCGTAAGCCGTACTAGTATGGCCGAAACCCTGAAAGGGTTAATTATGATCATAATATGGAGTTTTATTTTGAAATTGGGCACTGAAGCTGCAACATACATATACAGCAAACTACCTCTACCTCTAGAAGAAGATAGTCACAAATAGGCATTCATTTCTCTGCCCTGACTCACCTTAGTCTTAATTCATTTAGTCCTTAAACCTTCTTCCTTCGGGTTCTAATGATAGAATGTGTTCCTCCTTCCGTTTGTGATAACATTGTGAGTATGACTTACTGGTTATGATGGTAATAAGACACATTTTCATATATACTCCTTACAAAAAATTTTGGGTTGTACATATGATCCTCCTAGGTAGTAGGTTGGTAGACAGCAACCGCCCAGGGAGGTACTACCGTCCTGCCAAGTGAGTGTAAAACGAAAGCCTGTGATTGTTTTGCATGATGGTAGGATTGCTGGTGTCTTTTGTCTGTCTCATAAACACGCAAGATTTCAGGTATGTCTTGCTACTTCTACTTACACTTAGGTCACACTACACAAACATGTACAAGCATATATATACACACCCCTCTTGGTTTTCTGCTATTTTCTTTCTAGTTCTTGTTCTTGTTTATTTCCTCTTACCTCCATGGGGAAGTGGAACAGAATTCTTCCTCCGTAAGCCATGCGTGTTGTAAGAGGCAACTAAAATGCCAGGGGCAAGGGGCTAGTAACCCCTTCTCCTGTATATATTACTAAATGTAAAAGGAGAAACTTTCGTTTTTCCTTTTGGGCCACCCTGCCTTGGTGGGATACGGCCGATGTGTTGAAAGAAAGAAGACATATGATCCTTGAACTGCTATGCCTGAGCTCTTAGTACCTGAGTTTTTAGCAATTTCCTTTGAGGCTGGATTCTGCTGTACTGCTACATGTTAAACTTGATCGCCTTTCTTTGGGTGACTTGGCCAGTGAAATGATATTAAAAAAATGAATGATTATTTAGTACGTGAATCTTTAAGTAACAGTGAGTGTGAGGTTTTTTTTTTTTACACACAGTCCGTTTCCCACCAAGGCAGGGTGACAGAAAAAGAAGAAACACTTTTATCAATGCTTACTCCATTGTTGTCTTGTCGAAGGTGTGCCGATACTACATTTCAGTAACCGAAACATATCTCCACCCCTCCTTCAGAGCACAGGCACTGTACTTCCCACCTCCAGGGCTCAAGTCTGGCTAGCTGGTTTCCCTGAATCCCTTCATAAATGTTACTTTGCTCACACTCCAACAGCATATCAAATCATAAAAACAACTTGTCTCCACTCCTATCTAACATGCTCATGCATGCTTCCTGGAAGTCCAAGCCCCTCACACACAAAACCTCCTTTACCCCTTCCTCCAACCTTTCCTAGGCCAACCACTACACTGTCTTCCTTCTACTACAGATTTTTACACTCTCCAAGCATTCTATTTTGTTCCATCCTCTCTAAATGTCCGAACCACCTCATCAACCCCTTAGCTCTCTGGATAATACTTTTAGTAACCCTGCACCTCATAATTTCCAAATTACGGATCCTCTGCATTATATTCACACTGCCCTTAGACTTGACATCTCCACTGCTTCCAGCCTTCTCCTTGTTGCAACATTCACCACCCATGCTTCACACCCATATAAGAATAAAGAATAAAAAGACACAATACCATGACTGGAACAATACAGAAATACCTGAACTTAGAAGAATGAAACTTATGATGATGTTTTTGGTCCAAGTCGTACCGAAACATCATCATTAGTCTCATTATTCCACCGAAGCAGGGTGGCTCAAAAAGAAAATCAGAAGTTTTTCTTTTAGTTTTAGTAATGTATACAGGAGAAGGGGTTTACTTGCCCCTTGCTCCCAGCATTTTAGTCGCCTCTTATGACACGCATGGCTTACGGAGGAAGAATCCTGTTTCACTTCCCCATGGAAAATTAATGTATACACATTAATTAAATAAAACAGTCACAATACAGAGTACAGTACATATGTATAAGGGTGAGCAGCAGCTGGGCGCGCTCTCATTCTCGCTGTCCAATTCACACCCGTCTCTCACATTGTTTCTAAGACAATATTCTTTACATATACTTACCCCTTCCTCACTGCTGTTGTCAAGTGTGTGGTGTGTAGGGGTGGGGAGCACCTGGACTGCCTCTGTCTCTTTCTCACTCTCCAGTTCACTCCCATCCTACCTCACAACATATCTAACTCGAGAACATATCTAACTCAAAACTCGTTATATATGTTCACCACTCCCTCATTGTTATGCTGAGGGTTAATGTGCCTAGATACAAAGTGTGAGTAGATAGTGATGAAGATAGACATGTCCAGTATGTAGGCAGCAGTGGAAGTGGCTACCAAGGAACAGCCTCTCCTTACTTAGCGACATACTTGTTTACCAACGCCTCGGACTTACGACGGGCTCTCTGACCAGTATTCATACCTAAATAATGTATATTAGGGCTGATTTCCTTTATTCTATTTATTTCAGTATACAATACACCACTGTATAAACATTTAAAAATATACCAGAAATGTTGTAAATAGTGCAAAGGTGACATTAAAACAATATCAAAAATGGTTGACACAAACCCACCACCATTATAATATGCTCTTCACTTAGCGACGAAATTGTTTAATGACGTGGTCTCAGGAATGGAACTCCATCGTTAAGTGAGGAGAGGCTGTATTTAATCTACAGTTTTTAACCAATCTCTACCAAAAAAATAAACTCTCCACACTTACATAAAAGTAACATACATAGAATACCAATGTATTTAGTAAAAATTAACCAAGGATTTTTTTTTATAATTCAGCCTTAGGAAAATTTAAAATATTAAATCTGTAGTTCTTGACCAATTTCTACCAAACAAATATGAGCTCTGTTTACATACATACATAAAATAAATACAAGCTCTCCTCACTTAACGGCAGAGTTCCGGTCCTAAGACCACATCGGTAAACAAATTCGTCACTAAGTGAGGAGCAAACTGTAATGGTAGTGGGTTTGTGTCAACTAGATTTGATATTGTTTTAATGTCACCTTTGCACCATTTATAACATTTCTGATATATATATATTTTTAAATAGAGTGGGAGAGGCACTGCAAAGAAATTTTAATGAAAATAAGAAAAAAATTTGGAGCAAGTTAAACAAGTTAAGAAAGCCTAGAGAACGAATGGATATGTCAGTTAAAAACAGAGTAGGGGGAGTTAGTAGTTGGAGAGATGGAGGTATTGGATAGATGGCGAGAATATTTTGAGGAAATTTTAAATGTCGGGGAAGAAAGGGAGGCGGTAATTTCATGCACTGGCCAGGGAGGTATACCATCTTGTAGGAGTGAAGAAGAGCAGGATGTGAGTGTGGGGGAGGTGCGTGAGGTATTACGTAGAATGAACGGGAGTAAAGCAGCTGGAACTGACGGGATCATGACAGAAATGTTAAAAGCAGGGTGGAACACAGTGTTGGAGTGGTTGGTATTTTTTTTTTAATAAATGTATGAAAGAGGGGAAGGTACCTAGGGATTGGCAGAGAGCATGTATAGTCCCTTTATATAAAGGGAAGGGGGACAAAAGAGATTGTAAAAATTATAGAGGAATAAGTTTACTGAGTATTCCAGGAAAAGTGTACGGTAGGGTTATTATTGAAAGAATTAGAGGTAAGACAGAATGTAGAGAATGTAGGATTGCGGATGAGCAAGGAGGCTTTAGAGTGGGTAGGGGATGTGTAGATCAAGTGTTTACATTGAAGCATATATGTGAACAGTATTTAGATAAAGGTAGGGAAGTTTTTATTGCATTTATGGGTTTAGAATAGGCATATGATAGACTGGATAGGGGAGCAATGTGGCAGATGTTACAAGTATATGGAATAGGTGGTAAGTTATTAAATGTTGTAGAGTTTTTATGAGGATAGTGAGGCTCAGGTTAGGGTGTGTAGAAGAGAGGGAGACTACTTCCCAGTAAAAGTAGGTCTTAGACAGGGATGCGTAATGTAACCATGGTTGTTTAATAAATTTATAGATGGGTTTGTAAAAGAAGTAAATGCTAGGGTGTTTGGGAGAGGGGTGGGATTAAATTATGGGGAATCAAATACAAAATGGGAATTGACACAGTTACTTTTTGCTGATGATACTGTGCTTATGGGAGATTCTAAAGAAAAATTGCAGAGGTTAGTAGACGAGTTTGGGAGAGTGTGTAAAGGTAGAAAGTTGAAAGTGAACAAAGAAAAGAGTAAGGTGACAAGGGTATCAAATGATTTAGATAAAGAAAAATTTGATATCAAATTGGGGAGGAGGGGTATGGAAGAAGTGAATATTTTCAGATATTTGGGAGTTGATGTGTCAATGGATGGATTTATGAAGGATGAGGTTAATCATAGAATTAATGAAGGAAAAAAGGTGAGTGGTGCATTGAGGTATATGTGGAGACAAAAAATGTTATCTGTGGAGGCAAAGAAGGGAATGTATGAAAGTATAGTAGTACCAACACTCTTATATCAGTGTGAAGCTTGGGTTGTAAATGCTGCAGCGAGGAGGCGGTTGGAGGCAGTGGAGATGTCCTGTCTAAGGGCAACGTGTGGTGTGAATATTATGCAGAAAATTCGGAGTGTGGAAATTAGGAGAAGGTGTGGAGTTAATGAAAGTATTAGTCAGAGGGCTGAAGAGGGGTTGTTGAGGTGGTTTGGTCATTTAGAGAGAATGGATCAAAGTAGAATGACACGGAGAGCGTATAAATCTGTAGGGGAAGGAAGGCGGGATAGGGGTCGTCCTTGACAAGGATGGAGGGAGGGGGTAAAGGAGGTTTTGTCTGTGAGGGGCTTGGACTTCCAGCAAGCGTGCATGAGCATGTTAGATAGTGAATGGAGATGAATGGTATTTGGGACATGATGAGCTGTTGGAGTGTGAACAGGGTAATATTTAGTGAAGGGATTCGGGGAAACTGGTTATTTTTATATAGCCGGACTTGAGTCCTGGAAATGGGAAGAACAATGCCTGCACTTTAAAGGATTGGTTTGGGATATTTGCAGTTTGGAAGGATATGTTGTGTATCTTTATACGTACCATCTTTATACGTATATGCTTCTAAACTGTTGTATTCTGAGCACCTCTGCAAAAACAGTGATTATGCGTGAGTGAGGTGAAAGTGTTGAATAATGATGAAAGTATTTTCTTTTTGGGGATTTTTTCTTTTTTGGGTCACCCTGCCTCGGTGGGAGACGGCCGACTTGTTGAAAAAAAAAAAATTTAAATGTTTATACAGTAGTGTACTATATATTGTAATAAACAGAATAGAGGAAATCAGCTCTAGTATACATTATTCAGGCATGCACACTGGTCAGAGAGCCCGTCGTAAGTCAGAGGCATCGGTAAATGAGTACGTCACTAAGTGAGGAAAGGCTGTATACAGTGTGAATATATTTGGTAAAATAAACAGTGAATTTTTTTTTTATAAATTCTACATCTTCATTCTGTAGTTTCTGACCAAACTCTACCAAACAAATTTAAACTCTGTGTACATTCATAAATTAACACAAAATATGAGTGTATTTTGTAAAAATTGTAAGAAAACTTATTTAGAATATTTTATTTGAATATTTGCTATGATCTTAACTGCAGATCAGCATTCATAAGTAATTAATTGGTTCCAAAATTCCAGTATCATAAGTGCCGAACATTGTAAGTGAGGCTATTATTGTATTGTGATTATTTTTAAACTAAAACATTTGAGCTACATTTTTAATCTTATATTACAGATGAATGATGGGCCGTTGTGTCGATGCTCCTTAAAGGCCCAGCGTTCGGGAATTCGTCATGGATATTATGTTGGTGAATGTAAATTACCTTTATGTGACCCTTGGACCAATAATGCAGATCGTCTCCATCACTATCTCATCACTATATCTCCACCCACTAATTTCCTGGTAAGTCTTGAAATGTCCTGCTTATAAATTTTTTTCTTCTTTCAACGAACTGGCTGTATCCCACCAAGGCAGGGTGGCTCAAAAAGAAAAATGAAAGTTTCTCCTTTAAAATTTAGTAATGTATACAGGAGAAGGGGTAACTAGCCCCTTGCTTCCAGCATTTTAGTCAACTCTTATGACATGCAGGGCTTACAGAGGTGGTGGTGGTGGCGGCCAGCTGCCTCACTCTATGCTGCTGCCTTCTTCGTTTCTTTAACTTTTGTCATAATTTTTAATCGCTTCCTGAGCTTCTTGCTGATTGTACGCGAATATTGTCTCTTTGGGTGAGGCATTGTGTAAGAAATTTGTACAATATAAGACAAAATTACTCATCCCAAGAGTCTGTTGCAGTCACTCAGAGCGGCACACCTCTTCGTTTTGAACCTTGGTTAGCACTGGGATAGCTGTGGTCTAGCAGTCCTTACAGCCACCCAGAGGGTTACCAATTTGTATTTTGAAGCATTTGGCACAAAAATATGAAAAAAATTTACAAAAAATGTCTAAAATTGACAACATATTATTATTATTACTATGTATTATATTATTATTATTATTATTATTATTATTATTATTATTATTATTAATTATTATTATTTTTTTTTTTTTTACCAAGTCGGCCATCTCCCACCGAGGCAGGGTGACCCAAAAAGAAAGAAAATCCCAAAAAAGAAAATACTTTCATCATCATTCAACACTTTCATCTCACTCACACATAATCACTGTTTTTGCAGAGGTGCTCAGAACACAACAGTTTAGAAGCATATACCTATAAAGATACACAACATATTCCTCCAAACCAATAATAGCCCAAACCCCTCCTTTAGAGTGCAGGCATTGTACTTCCCATTTCCAGTACTCAAGTCCGGCTATATAAAAATAACCAGTTTCCCTGAATCCCTTCACTAAATATTACCCTGCTCACACTCCAACAGATCGTCAGGTCCCAAATACCATTCGTCTCCATTCACTCCTATCTAACATGCTCATGCACGCCTGCTGGAAGTCCAAGCCCCTCGCCCACAAAACCTCCCTTACCCCTTCCTTCCAACCTTTTTGAGAACGACCCCTACCCCGCCTTCCTTCCCCTACAGATTTATACGCTCTCCATGTCATTCTACTTTGATGCATTCTCTCTAAATGACCAAACCACCTCAACAACCCCTCTTCAGCCCTCTGACTAATACTTTTATTAACTCCACACCTTCTCCTAATTTCCACACTCCGAATTTTCTGCATAATATTTACACCACACATTGCCCTTAGACAGGACATCTCCACTGCCTCCAACCGCCTCCTCGCTGCTGCATTCACAACCCAAGCTTCACACTGATATAAGAGTGTTGGTACTTCTATACTTTCATACATTCCCTTCTTTGCCTGCATAGATAACATTTTTTGTCTCCACATATACCTCAACACACCACTCAGCTTTTTTCCCTCATCAATTCTATGATTAACCTCATCCTTCATAAATCCATTTGCCGACACATCAACTCCCAAGTATCTGAAAACATTCACTTCTTCCATACTCCTCCTCCCCAATTTGATATCCAATTTTTCTTTATCTAAATCATTTGATACCCTCATCACCTTACTCTTTTCTTTGTTCACTTTCAGCTTTCTACCTTTACACACACTCCCAAACTCATCCACTAACCTTTGCAATTTTTCTTTAGAATCTCCCATAAGCACAGTATCATCAGCAAAAAGTAACTGTGTCAATTCCCATTTTGTATTTAGCCCTTTCAGGGTCGACAGGCCCTCTCAGAGACTTGTTCTCAGGGTCGGCCAAATTTAAAAAAAAAAAAAAATTCTTATGAAAAGATAAAGAATCTTTTCCTGATCATAATGACACCAAAAGTATGAAATTTGATGGAAAACTTAGGGAATTATGCTCTCACGAAGTTAGCGGTCTCGATGATGTTTACGCATCGGCGATTTTGCCCACTTTGAGCCCTATTCTCGGCCAATTCCAGTGTACTTGTTGACAAAAATCATAACTATTTCGCTAGAATTCCGTTTTTTCTATCGACTGAGTACTACAAGAATCCACCCATTTACCGATTTCAACTATCCAATACAGTGGTCAAAATTTAGCAGTTTTGCCAATTTCACACAAATTTCAAAAGATGCCAATTTCCGAATAGGGTCCAGAATAAACAAGAAAGGCATTCCTGGCACTAAAATAACACTTCCTATGTTCATTAGTCACATCCCCATGCCCCTCTTACATTCTTTTGCTTTCCACTTTGAATTTTTATTCTCACAAAAAAATAGAAGATTTACTGTTAAGCAGACTACTGCATTGGTGTTTTTAACTGACAAATCCATTAGTTCTCTAGGCTTTCTTAACTTGTTTAACTCGCTCCAAAATTTTTTCTTATTTTCGTTAAAATTTCTTGACAGTGCCTCTCCCACTCTATCATCTGCTCTCCTTTTGCACTCTCTCACCACTCTCTTCACCTTTCTTTTACTCTCCATATACTCTACTCTTCTTATAACACTTCTGCTTTGTAAAAACCTCTCATAAGCTAACTTTTTCTCTTTTATCACACCCTTTACTTCATCATTCCACCAATCACTCCTCTTTCCTCCTGCACCCACCCTCCTATAACCACAAACTTCTGCCCCACATTGTAATACGTACTGCATTTTTAAAACTATTCCAACCCTCTTCAACCCCCCCCCCCCCACTACTCATACTTGCACCAGCCCACCTTTCTGCCAATAGTTGCTTATATCTCACTCGAACTTCCTCCTCCCTTAGTTTCACCTCCCTCTTGCTTGTTGTTGTCATTTTCCTCTTTTCCCATCTACCTCTTATTCTAACTGTAGCTACAACTAAATAATGATCCGATATATCAGTTGCCCCTCTATAAACGTGTACATCCTGGAGCCTACCCATCAACCTTTTATCCAACATTACATAATCTAACAAACTACTTTCATTACATGCTATATCATACCTTGTATATTTATTTATCCTCTTTTTCATAAAATATGTATTACTTATTACCAAACCTCTTTCTACACATAGTTCAATTAAAGGCTCCCCATTTTCATTTATCCCTGGCACCCCAAATTTTCCTACTACTCCCTCCACAACATTTTTGCCCACTTTAGCATTGAAATCCCCAACCACCATTACTCTCACACTTGGTTCAAAACTCCCCACGCATTCACTCAACATTTCCCAAAATCTCTCCCTCTCCTCTACACTTCTCTCTTTTCCAGGTGCATATATACTTACTATAACCCACTTTTCACATCCAACCTTTATTTTACTCCACATAATCCTTGAATTAATACATTTATAGTCCCTCTTTTCCTGCCATAACTTATCCTTCAACATTATTGCTACTCCTTCTTTAGCTCTAACTCTATTTGAAACCCCTGACCTAATCCCATTTATTCCTCTCCACTGAAACTCTCCCATCCTCTTCAGCTTTGTTTCACTTAAAGCCAGGACATCCAGCTTCTTCTCATTCATAACATCCACAATCATCTGTTTCTTATCATTTGCACAACATCCACGCACATTCAGACTTCCCACTTTTACAATTTTCTTCTTATTCTTTTTAGTAATTATTACAGGAAAAGGGGTTACTAGCCCATTGTTCCCGGCATTTTAGTTTACTTTTACAGCACGCATGGCTTACGGAGGAAAGATTCTTATTCCACTTCCCCATGGATATAAAAGGAAAAGTAATAAGACCAAGAACTATTAAGATAAAATCAAAGAAAACTCAGATGAGTGTGTATAAATAAACATGTACATGTATGTGTAGTGTGACCTAAGTGTAAGTAGAAGTAGCAAGACGTACCTGTAATCTTGCATATTTATGAGACAGACAAACGACACCAGCAATCCTACCATCATGTAAAACAATTACAGGCTTTCGTTTCACACTCACTTGGCAGAACGGTAGTACCTCCCTGGGTGGTTGCTGTCTACCAACCTACTACCTATTATTATTATTATTATTATTATTATTTTTATTAGTATTATTATTCTTAGTATGTACTTATTATTATCATTCTTAGTATGTACTTATTATTATTATTATTATTAATACATATGTATTATTATTATTATTATTATTATTATTATTAGTTTAGGGAACTGGAGCACAGATCCAATTCTCTAGATCAAGAGGCCATCATCATGTACATACTACTACTACTACTACTAATAATAATAATACACAAATAACTCGCACATAGAAGAGAGGAGCTTACATTGTTGTAAGCTCCTCTCTTCCATGTGCGGGTTATTTGTGTATCGTTCCAGTCACGGATTTGTGCCTTTTTTTGTTATTAATAATAATGATAATAATACAATATAATAATAATTAATAATAATAATAATCTGATATCCAATCTTTCATCACCTAATCTTTTTGTTATCCTCATAACCTTACTCTTTCCTGTATTCACTTTCAATTTTCTTCTTTTGCATACCCTACCAAATTCATCCACCAATCTCTGCAACTTCTCTTCAGAATCTCCCAAGAGCACAGTGTCAACAGCAAAGAGCAACTGTGACAACTCCCACTTTATGTGTGATTCTTTATCTTTTAACTCCATACCTCTTGCCAAGACCCTCGCATTTACTTCTCTTACAACCCCATCTATAAATATATTAAACAACCACGGTGACATCACACATCCTTGTCTAAGGCCTACTTTTACTGGGAAATAATTTCCCTCTTTCCTTCATACTCTAACTTGAGCCTCACTATCCTTGTAAAAACTCTTCACTGCTTTCAGTAACCTACCTCCTACACCATACACCTGCAACATCTGCCACATTGCCCCCCTATCCACCCTGTCATATGCCTTTTCCAAATCCATAAATGCCACAAAGACCTCTTTAGCCTTATCTAAATACTGTTCACATATATGTTTCACTGTAAACACCTGGTCCACCCACCCCCTACCTTTCCTAAAGCCTCCTTGTTCATCTGCTATCCTATTTTCCGTCTTACTCTTAATTCTTTCAATATTAACTCTACCATACACTTTACCAGGTATACTCAACAGACTTATCCCCCTATAATTTTTGCACTCTCTTTTGTCCCCTTTGCCTTTATACAAAGGAACTATGCATGCTCTCTGCCAATCCCTAGGTACCTTACCCTCTTCCATACATTTATTAAATAATTGCACCAACCACTACAAAACTATATCCTCACCTGCTTTTAACATTTCTATCTTTATCCCATCAATCCCGGCTGCCTTACCCCCTTTCATTTTACCTACTGCCTCACGAACTTCCCCCACACTCACAACTGGCTCTTCCTCACTCCTACAAGGTGTTATTCCTTCTTGCCCTATACACGAAATCACAGCTTCCCTAACTTCATCAACATTTAACAATTCCTCAAAATATTCCCTCCATCTTCCCAATACCTCTAACTCTCCATTTAATAACTCTCCTCTCCTATTTTTAACTGACAAATCCATTTGTTCTCTAGGCTTTCTTAACTTGTTAATCTCACTCCAAAACTTTTTCTTATTTTCAACAAACTACTGTCATTTTGCCCTACATCATATCTTGTATACTTATTTATCCTCTTTTTCTTAAAATATGTATTACCTGTAACTAAACCCCTTTCTATACAAAGTTCAATCAAAGGGCTCCCATTATCATTTACACCTGGCACCCCAAACTTACCTACCACACCCTCTCTAAAAGTTTCTCCTACTTTAGCATTCAGATCCCCTACCACAATTACTCTCTCACTTGGTTCAAAGGCTCCTATACATTCACTTAACATCTCCCAAAATCTCTCTCTCTCCTTTACATTCCTTTCTTCTCCAGGTGCATACACGGTTATTATGACCCACTTTTCGCATCCAACCTTTACTTTAATCCACATAATTCTTGAATTTACACATTCATATTCTCTTTTCTCCTTCCATAACTGATCCTTCAACATTACTGCTACCCCTTCCTTTGCTCTAACTCTCTCAGAAATATTTATATTGAAAGAAATAAGGTGAAGAAACCCAGGAGGAAATAAATTTGTTTGTTAAGAATGAAAGAGATAAGATGTTGCATAAGGAAATTGCTATTATTAATTGATATATTTGGGAAAGTTATCTGACAAGGGTCTTTGTCATAAGATGGCCTGTTCAGTGGTGCCAACACTTTGGGTGGGAAGCAGCAGAACGGTGCCGTCTCATTACACTTGAAGGTGGGGTAGCCATTGACCCTATGGTAGGTCAAGGTAACAGCAAATACTGGCTGGCTAGTGCTGAACTCAGCAGTCTGAGTGAAAAAGAGGTAAAAGCATGGGGTATTTGAAATGTAGAAAATATTTTGATTAGTTGTTTAGTCCAGATAAGATTAAAGGCAAAATTTCCCTGTATTAGAGAGTGAAGAATGAAATTTTTTTAAAATGACTGAAGAGCTCGAAGCTGGGTGAGCAGTAGTACTGCTAAATACTACGTATAGTACTTGTACAAATAAATTTAATCAGTATTATTTTATTCCTGTATTCAACAGATTAAAACTCCAACGGTGATTATGCACGATGGACACGAGTTTATTTTTGAAGGGTTTTCCTTGCTGTCGCATCATCCACTCGAAGAGGTTCCAACGTGCAGGGTTATACGTTTTAATATTGAGTACACCATCCTATACATTGAAGAAAAAATTCCTGACAATTTTTGTGTCCAAGAACTTAATATATTTTGTGAGTATATTCATTTAAGTAAATCATGTTTTTGGTTACCAGTAAATGTTTTTTTCTGACCTTTGCATACACCATTGAAAATTTGACACTTGTTTACATTTAGAGATGGTGAATGCAAGATTAGACTTCATGACAATAAATAATATTGCCAGGCTTATTATTGTTGTGTGAAAAGCTGGCTGTTTCATTCTGAAAGCTCATGTGTGTGTTAAGCCACCTCACCTGGAATATCCTAGCTCATAAGTCACATTATATGATTTCAGTTATTTGTATAATCTCATGAATAACATTTTTTAAATATTACCATACTATACATTTAATTGTCTCATGTATTATCATGTATTTTCAGATTCTTATCTCTTTCTTGAGCTCTTGGAACTTGTTGACTTGAATCTGCATGCAATGGGTGATGCAGAAGGTTGTCCAAGATTCCATTTCATGCCAAGATTTGTGCGGAAACTTGCAGGTCAGTGACAGAGTGTGACAGAAAACACACCCTTAAGACACCAAACTCAAAGTGGTTAGGACATTTATTTTCTTGTCTTTTTCTTTCTGTATAATTATGTATATCCTAGCCAAACCTTAGCCTCAAAAGCAAATTACTTGGTTGGTATCACACACTAATTGCTCTTAATATTTCAAGTACAGTATATACTCAAATATAACCTGACTGTGTGTGCAAGTTGATGTAAGACTATTTGTCAGAAATCCTTACTTTTCATATATCTTCTTCTTTCAACAAACTGACTGTATCCCACTGAAGCAGGGTGGCCCAAAAAGAAAAACAAAAGTTTCTCGTTTTAACTTTAGTAATCTCGGTGACTTCCGTGGGCTCAGTTGGTGCAAGATAGAAGGAATTTGGGAAATTCCCATCTAGGTAGTCCCCGGCATGGGCATTGGTACGTGGGATTTTATTGGCAAGATTAGATCCTATGGTTGAGAAGAAGTCGTTTATCTTGTTAGCTGTGTCAGTGGGATGCAGTGGTGTTTCATTAGGTTTAGTTAGGACAATATTCTTGTTTTTTTTCAGTTTGTGGGTCCCTAGAATCTGAGAGAGTGTTTTCCAGGTCTTTTTTATATCTCCTCTTGTGTCAGTGAATCTGCTGGAGTAGTATAGTTGTTTGGCTTTCTTTATTACTTTGGTGAGAACTGATGAATAGTGTTTAAGAATATCTTTGTGTATTAAGCCCTGTCTATATTGCTTTTCATATTGGTGTTTATCAATGGATTTCAGAATGGTGCTGGTTAGCCATGGGCAACCAAGCCGTTTGTTTGTGATCTGTTTCGTTTTTATAGGACAATGTTTGTTGTATAGTTTAAGTAATTTGTTAAGAAAAATGTCTGTCCAGTCATCAATACCATTGGCCTTGGAGAATTCTGTAGGCCAGTCAACAGCCTCTAGGTCAGCTGTGAAATTCCTTATTGAGGCCTCATCATGGAGTCTAAATGAAACTTTGTTGTATTCAAGTGGTGGTTTACTAATGTTTGTCAAGAGGAAGATAGGGTAGTGGTCTGTAGTGCTGTCTGTGATTATCCCTGATTTAAGGGGGGCTAGTATATTGGTCCATATGTGGTCTATTATGGTCGCACTTGTCTCAGTGAGCCTGGTTGGTTTAGTTATTATTGGTATGAGAAGTGTGTTGTTCATATTGTTGATGAAATCAGTTACAGGCTGATCATCTAGTAGGCCAAGGTTGATGTTGAAGTCTCCAGCTAAGAGAAGGTGGTGCTTATTCATTTGTCTGTTTGTTATTAATGCCTTTAATTGCTCACTGAAATTTGGGATGTTTGTGTGGGGTATCTGGTAAATGGCACTGATTGTTATAGGCGTCTTAAGGTTTTTTACAGTAAAATTAGCAAAAATGTATTCCTCATATTCATCACTAAAGCAAGTGGTGCTAATACAAGATAATTGGTTAGAGTAATAGATTGCAATACCACCCCTAACTTGGTATGGTCTGCAGTTGTGGATTGCTGTGTATCCTGGTAGAGGGTAGATATCTATTGTGTCCTGCTTACTTGAACATTTTCTGCTGCCACCACATGTGGACTTTTCTAACCCCTCTAGTCCATAGGTACCTTTACCTGCAGATTTCTTTTATCTTTCTCATTATTAACCCTTTCAGGGTTGGCAGGCCCTCTCCTAAACTTGTTGTCAGGGTCGGAAATTTTTCGAAAAAAAAAAAAAAAATTATTTTTTCTTATGAAATGATAGAGGATCTTTTCCTGATCATAATGACACCAAAAGTATGAAATTTGATGGATTTCGCCCACTTTGAGCCCTATTTTCAGCCAATTCCTATGTACCAGTCGACAAAAATTATAACTATTTCGCTAGAACTTCATTTTTTCTATCGAATGAGTACAAGAAACCACCCATTTACCGATTTCAAGTATCCAATAAAGTGGTCAGAAATTGGCAATTTTGCCAATTTCACACAAATTTCAAAAGATGTCAATTTCCAAATAGGGTCCAGAATAAACAAGACAGACATTCCTGGCACTAAAATAACATTTCCTCTATTCATTAGTCACGTCCCCAGGCCTCTGTTACATTTCTTTTGCTTTCCACTTTGAATTTTTATTCTCACAAAAATTAGAAGATTTACTGTTATGCAGACTACTGCATTAGTGTAGAAATGGTATAAATAATGTCAGCACACTTTTGAAAGAATATTAGACTCACCAGTTGATGTGTATTGGACGAATGGCATGATTTGTTTTCTTTTGAACTTTGGCAAAAATCAAACATTTCTGCTGCTCTGAGCTCAATTTCAAGGTACTTTTCATTGTGAAACCAATCAAAATCATCTCAATTTCCGTAATATGTCTTTCATTCTATAAAATGAGAAAAACTAGAATACGTACAACCATAAATAGCATACGAAAATACACTGCAAAGTCGCTGTTTTAAACCAAAAACACGGTCAGATTTTTTTTTCTCATGCACTGTTTGCTGCAGGATTTTTTTTATACTGCACACACTAACCACATAGACTCATTCTTTCATATGTAGGCCTACCAGCTTTCTCTCGCTAGATTTGAAGGCGCTAGAATTTATGCGTACTAGTACGGCACCAACCCTGGTGTGCAAGCCATACTAGTACGACACCAACCCTGAAAGGGTTAATCATGGCCTGTTTACAGTGGAATGTCCGCGGCCTCAGAGGTAATCGGGGTGAGCTTCAGATGTTGCTCTCCCAGTTTTCCCCTGTTGGTGTTTGCTTACAAAAACCAAAATTACACTCTGCTGTTATCCATCCCATCTCAGGCTATGATTTGTTGTATTCTTCGGATCCTTTTTCTGATTGAACTTTTGATGAAAATGCCCTTCTTATATGCACTGATGTTCTGTACTGTCAGCTATTTGTTCATACTTTGCTGCACTACACTGCAGCCCATATCCACTTGAATAAGTGGTATACAATCTATTCTTTGTATCTCTCTCCTTCTCGGGCATTATCTATCCCAGATGTTGCCTTTCTTGTTTCGTCCTTACTGCCACCACTTCTGTTACTTGGCGATTTTAATGCCCACCATTTCCTCGGGGGGTGGGGGTCTCACTGTGACTCCCGTGGCATTCAGTTAGTGGCTTTTCTCACTTCTCACCCCCTCCATGTTTTAAATACGGGTACTCCCACCCATTTTGATCCTCATACTCATACTCTCTCTTGCATCGATCTCTTGGTCTGCTCTTCCTCCACTGCACTAGACTTCACCTGGTCTGTCCTCCCAGACTTACATGACCGATCATTTTCCAATCATTCTTACTTCTCCTTCATATTCACCACCTCTTCGTAGCCCACGCTGGCAGTTTGATCGAGCAAATTGGGACCTTTACTCGCAGCTAACTGCTTTTAGTGAAGTTCCCTCTTCATCCTCTATTGATGAGCTTTTACACCTCTTCTCGACCTCATTTTTAACCACAGCTTCTCATTCTATACCCCAAACCTCGGGCATGCATTCTCAGAAGTGCATGCCTTGGTGGTCTCCTGCTTGTGCTCAGGCAGTATGTTTGAAATGTGCTGCGTGGGGCACGTACCGGTACAATAGAACCACAGAGAGACTTCTTGATTTTAAGCAGAAGCGACCGGTCACTCGCCGTGTCATCCGTGATGCTAAATGCACTTGCTGGTGAGATTATGTTTCCACCATCACCTCTGCTTCCTCTGTGAGTGCAGTCTGGAAAAAAAGCACAGAAACTGAGTGGTAAATACTGTCCCAACCCGGCTCCTGTTCTGTGGGTTGCCGGTGTTGATACAGCATACCCTTTTGACGTTGCCATTGAAATTGGTAATCATCAGTTCCGCATTTCTCAGGGACTCCATCTATGCCCCTCGTTTCTTTCCTCAAAGTCTGCCAGAGTGTTAAGGCCCTAGACTTTTCTTCTCTCAAAGAAGAATCTTATAATGTGCCTTTTACACTTCTGGAACTGGAGGCAACACACTCATCTTGCTGATCATCAGCAGCTGGGCCTGACGGCATTCATATTCGGATGTTACAGCATTTACATCAGTCAGCCCTTGCAGTCCTCTTACAACTCTTTAATCTTATTTGGTCGCAAGGAGTTCTTTCCCAGCTGTGGAAATCTGCCATTGTTCTCCCTTTCCGCAAACCGGGTACTACTGGACATGATGCCGCCCACTATCATCCCATTGCTCTTAACAGTGCAGTTTGAAAGGTGATGGAACGTCTGGTAAATCAACATTTAATGTGGTATTTAGAGAGACACAACAGTCTCTCCACTAGTCAGTATGTCTTTCGTAAGGGCCGTTCTACCATTGACATCAACCCTTACTACACTTGGATACATATGTTTGTAATGCCTTTGTGAATAACCACTCAGTTATTGCCATATTTTTTGACCTTGAGAAGGCATATGACACAACTTCGAGGTATAATATTTTGGCCCAAGCCCACTCCTTAGGCCTCTGAGGCACTCTACCATCCTTCCTTAGGAACTTCTTAACTGACAGACATTTCTGAGTTCAGGTTAATAATGTGCTCTCCCTGGACTTTGTCCAAGCTGAATGTGTCCCCCAGGGATGTGTTCTGAGCACAACAATTTTTCTCCTTGCTATAAATGATTTGGCCTCTCTTCTTCCATCCAATATTTGGTCATCACTCTATGCTGATGACTTCGCTATAGCTTGTGCAGGCACTTACTGTCACCTCACTGCAGTTTCTCTCCAGCATGCGGTCAACCATGTTTCAAATTGGGCCACCATGCTTAGGTTTAAATTTTCCAGTACTAAAACTCACCAAATTACTTTCGCTAGACGTTCTGTCATCTCTGATCATCCATTGTACCTCTATGGCTCATGTATCCCAGAACATGATATGGTCAGGTTTCTAGGCCTTCTGTTTGACAGTAGGTTATCCTGGAAACCTCACATTACCTCAACATGTCACAGCTGGCTGAACCTTCTTAAAACCCTCACTCATCTTTCATGGGGAGCTGATAGT